GTTTCATTTTTCTGCAAATGGATCTCCAGTTTTGCCAGCATCATTTGTTAAATAGACAATCTCTTCCCCCATTCAATGGGTTTCAGCCCTTTGTCAAAGATCAGCTGACCATAGGTGAATGGATCTATTTCTGGGTTCTCAATTCTATTCCATTGGTCTATGTATATGTTGTTTTACCAATACCAGGCAGTTTTGACTACTGTGGCTGTATACTAGATTTTAAGATTGGAGAGTGAGAGACCTCCTACTTTGTTCTTCTTCAATAAAGCTTTGCTTATCTGAAGTCTCTTTCCTTTTCATATAAAATTACTGATTGGTTTTTCCATATCCTTAAAGAATGCTTGGTAGAGTGGAGGGTTGACGAAAGAAGAGGAGGCCTTCAACAAGATGGATTGGCAAGGTGGCTGCAATGATGGGCTCAAGTATAGCAGGGATGGTGGGGCTCGCGCAGGATTGGGCAGTGTTTCGTTCTGCTGTGCATGGGGTCGCTATGAGTTGGAAATGACTCGACAGCACTTAACAACAACAACAATAAAGAATGTTGATAGGATCTGGATTGGCATTGCATTGAATGTATAGATTGTTTTGGGCAGAATTGACATTTTCATAACGTTCAATCTTCCTATCCAAAAACATGGGATATTCTTCCATTTATGTGGATCTCATGGTTTCTTTAAGTAGTCTTTTATAGTTTGCTTTGTACAAGTCTTTTGTGTCCCTTGTAAGATTTATTCTCAAGTGCTTGAACAATTTCTCTTAGAAAGATCAGCATAAGGCTAGTCCCCATGAGGTAGAGGTTGAAGGTGTCCCAAATGTCCAAACTACCATGTCACTCCATCATTTCAGTCATTAACTCCTCTTCCTTCTCCCAGTAAACTCCCCTGTCTTAGGGTTCTGTATTTCACTGTAACACCTTACAGAACTCACAGACACCCCAGGGATCATCTCACATAGTGGTGGTGAAGGCTGGCAAGACCTAGGTCTGTAAGTGGATCTGGAGGGTCCTCCCAATTCTTAGGGTTTGATGAACCTCAACCAGCAGATCAGATGGTGGCTGCTTTCCCAAATCCAGGAGTGAGATGAGGATAAGCCAAAACAGAAATGGAGCAAGAGGAGGGCAAACCTTCCCAGGAGATTCTTAGGTATACCCTCAAGGAAGCTAAGACTGGTGATTTGTGTTATATCCTCCAGCAAGGCAGTACCCAAGATATATCCCACCTGTGTTGCCCCAACAGAAATAACCCAAGCTGATGGCTTTAACAATCAGCAGCTACTCAATTGTTCGTGGCAAATCCCATCACAGAGCCGATTATTATAGGGAATGACTACTACTAGCTGCCCATCCAAGTTGACACCTGAACTTAACTACCACACTATCCTAAACAGGCATGGAGAATAGGATTTACAGTACATTACAGAATAGAGGACAATGGCTAGAAGGGCCACATCAAGAAATTCAGTGCACTAAGTATTTTATTTTTTTGGTAGCTATTGTGTTTCCAAGGCAGTATCACTATGGAAGTAGATTGTCCAAACTTCCTTCTGAGGAGTGGCTGGTGGGTTTTCACTGCCAGCCTTCTGGTTACCAGTCAAGTGCCTCAGGCACTACACCACCAGATCTTCTTATTGTAAATGGTATTGATTTCCTTATTTCTTTTTTAGCAATCTCTTTGCTGGTGTAGAGGAATCCAACTAAATTTTGGATGTTGATCTTATATTCTGCCATGACGCTAAATCTTTCAATTAGTTACAGTAGATTTTTTACTGAGTTTCTCTGAGTCTGGTGATGTTTTTAGGATTCTTTCTTTGTCTTTGTTTTGATGAGTTTGATGATGATATGTCTTGATGGTTTTCTTTTGGGGTCTATCCTGATTGTGGTTCATTGGACTTCCTGAATGGATATATTCTCATCTTTCTTAATATCAGGGAAGTTCTCTTCCAACAAATCTTGGACAATTTTCTCAGTGGATTTATTTTCCTCTTCCTGTTCTGGAATTACAATTACACATAGGTTATTCCTTTTAATGGTATCTACATGAATCTTAGGCTCTCTTCATTTTGTTTTGATCTTTTTTCTGATTGATCCCTTTCCAAAGAAGTATTCAGTTATTTTTCTTCAATCACATTAATTCTGTGTTCCATCAATTTGATTATACTCCTTTGCCCTTTTGATGTGTTATCTATTTGTGAAAATTTAGTATTAATCTTCTGTATTTCTATCTGTAGATCTTGTATTATTTCTAATTTTTCATTTATTTTGTAATTTTGTCCTTGTATTTTCTTCCAAAATTGTTCTAGGGTTTTGTCTGTGTATTCCTTAATTTTGTCAGTGTTTTTCATGATCTGTCTCTCAATCCTTTGAAGATATCTAAGTATAATTCTTTTGAATTTTTCATCAGGGAGTTTCAATGCTGCTGCTTCTTCAGAGATGTGTTCTGGGTCTGTATCCTGCTCCCTTGTTTCTCCTGCTTTATCTTGCTTCTTTGTGTGGACTGTGATGATCTGAGACCTTGTTGTCTCTGAGACATTGTGGCATTATTGTATTTAGATCTCTGTTAACTGTTTGTGAAGAGCAATTAAGGGTGAGTCAGGCTGTTCTTGGTGGTTGTTTATCCTTGGTCAGTTGGTGGAGAAGGAAGTGGTAGCCCTCAGTTAAGTGGAGCTGTAGGAGGTGTGGGTGTAATTGTGTTGTATGGGCATGGTTGCTGTCTCCCACTCAGTTAGACAGAAACAACAATTATAAAATCATCAAAAAAGTAAGAGCAAGCAGACAAAACCCACACCACATAAACACACAGAAATGATCACCAAAAAAAGAAAAAAAAAAGGAAAGAAAAGAAAAAAAAAAAAAAACCAGTATCTGGGGAAGGCACAATAAGAGCAAAGAGGTAGAGTAGGAGAATAATGAAGGAAAAAATGTGAAAAATATAAAAAAGAAAAACAAGGAATGGAGTTAACCACAAGAAAGAAAAAAAATGGGAACCAAGGACAGAGACGAGAAGAAGAAGCTAAAAAGTAGAACCTGGAAGGGAAGAATAAAAACTAATAATAAAAAAGATGGAAAAAAACTAGACAAAAACAAACTAAAAAACAAAACAAAACAAAAAACTGGACAGGGTAGATCAAGGCACCCAGGCTTGGTCAGAGCACACAGCCTGAGATGGAATTTCTGCTGGCCCAAAATGTGGGTGGGAGTGAGGGATGGTCACACCTCTGCTCACCAAGAGGGTGTGTGGTATAAGATAACAAGGAGAATGTTGCACCTTTCCAGTCCTCGGTGTCTGGTGTGTCTTTGCAGTCCCAGCAAGTGGAGCCTATCCTTAGGTCCCTGGAATCTGAGGGAACACTGTCACTTTATATATCCAAAATGGTCAAATCACTTGTAAACATTCAAACTGGCTGCACTCTCTGGACAGCCAAAAGTCCACACCTCAGATCATCTCCCTCTTTACTGTTTCCCCTTTTATTCGCCAGCCACCACAGCAGTCCTCCATGCAGCCCCTGGCTAGCAGGGCCAATTTTCTGGTTAATTCTTAGGTCCTACCACCATATGGCAATATTCAAGCTGTCCATACCATCAGGATTGTTGATAGTCCATGGTTCCATATGTCTCCTTTTTCATAGTTTCCATGCAGGTTTTTCTACTAGTTGGAGTTTAGTCCACTTCTGTATCCTTCCTTTCAATGCTCAGGGTTCCAAGATATCTTCTGTATCTGTGTTAATTGATTCCCCTTTTCTTTGTTGAAGAGTGTCTGTGTAGTTTGTCTGCCTATTCCACCATCTTACTGGAACCTGGAATGTATTCTTGAGCCCAGTCTTGAGATAAGTTTCACAGTCAGAATCTCATTTTTGTTTTCCCTTTAGTCCAGGACAATAGCATCGAGCTGCTAGCAAAAGCTAAATTATTTCTTGGGGCTAGCTTACTGCTCATACTTGAATACCTTTATTGAATTTTCTTATTTATTTCTTAATGGTATAGAATGGGTACCAAATTAGAATTGGGCTCAAGAAGTGTATTTTTATAACTTGTTGTTGTTGTTGTTATGTGCTGTCAAGTCAGCACTGACTCATAGCGACCCCTCCTTGGGTTTCTGTGGCAGTATCACTATGGTAGTAGATTGTCCAACTTTCCTTTTGAGGAGTGGCTGGTGGGTTTGAACCGCCAGCCTTCTGGTTAGCAGTCAAGTGCCTTAGGCACTATGCTACCAGAGCTCTAGAAGGTTTATAAATTGGTGCTATAAACCCAGAGAAAGAACTTTGTTAGGCCCTTAAGATATGAGTAGTTCTTTAAAGTATATATATATATATATATATATGTGTGTGTGTGTGTGTGTGTGTGTGTGTGTGTGTATATGTTTTCAAACCCTAATGTCATGTAGATTAGAACTACATTGCTTTGAAAAACCCAAGATGAGAAATGCCTGTGGGCTTCAGGAATTCTGAAATTTGAGACTTGAATTAGGTAAAGACTCATCACTGCTCTTTCCTTCTGCTTTAATCATCTGTTTTTTCTCCCTGAAGATAAGATAAGTGCTGAAAGAATAGAAACTCTTTGTCTCAATTCTAGTTCCAAAATTCTTGAGAAAGGGTTCTGATTTGTCCAGGTGGTGGAGGTTCCCCCACTGAAGCAAACAACTTTAATCAGGGGATGGCATTTGGAGAAATGACTATAATCAACCTAGTTTATGAGAGGTGCTGAATTTCAAAGAACTCATTGTGTCTGGGAATGGAGTTGAGTCAGGAGTACCTTGTACAAAATGGACAAAACAAGGGAACTGTCATAAATGGGAAAGTATTGATTAGAAGCTTATAAATATAATATAAAAAATGTTGGCATGCCCCCCCCCCCCCGAGAGCATAATTTCTGATCTTTTTTATAGTAATTTTTGTTATGGTTAACTGATTTTCTGTATTTTTGAGTAAGTTGGAGAAAGAGTTGCCCCCACTCCATTTGAATACATAAAATTTACTTCATTTACTTTTCTCTGAATATTTTCTAGATTCAATGATTAGTTCATTTGTGGATGGAAAGCACATGGAGCAGAACACTTCAACACTTCCCACAGAAGGTAACATACTTCCCTACCTACAGGACATCATTGTGAACATGGAGTTTGAACTTCTTTAGATACAGGAGCTGATGGCCTAGTCTGGGAACCAGTTTTGTGGCTGACAGAAGTAGATTATGATCAGTGTGTGGTGGTATGCGGGACCCTGAATGATCCAACCTCTAACTGTTCTCCAAACAAACCATGTTTATTTGCCTCTAAGCCTTTCTCAAGTTGGAGATTCTCTTTGGAAGGAGATGGACTTGAATTGGTAGAAAGCATGAATTCACTTGCCTCCTGAACTGTATTAAAATCCTGCTTCTTCCTTTTATCTAGTTATGTGATCTTATTTAGCAGTGAAATTCAAGGTCTTAGATGGTAGATTAGAGACAGGTGACACCAAAACAGGAAAGAAATGAAATGCAGAGTTCACCAAAAATAAGCTTCATGCACATAAAAATTTTACCTTGCCATATATAGCTGTCTTCCAAATCTCTTGGCATAGCCAAGTGAGTGCCTCCAGTGGCACTTCCATTCATTGAAACTCTCATTGGCTATTCTGTCAATACCTGGAGCCTTGCTCTTTTCCAATTCCTTCAGTGCAGCTTTGACTTCTTCCTTCAGTACTATTGGTTCTTGATCATATGTCACCTCCTGAAATGGATGAACATCGACCAGGTCTTTTTGGTACAGTGACTCTGTGCATTCCTTCCATCTTCTTTTGATGCTTCCTTTGGAAGACAGCTACCTGGCTAACTGACTGGAAGACATCTATATTTGTATCATTCCTAAGACAGGTGATCCCAAAAATGTGGAAATTAATAAAAAATATCATTAATATCTCTTGCAAGTAAAACCTTATTGAAGATAATTCAAAAATGGTGGCAAGACTATGTTGACAGAGAACTTCCAGAAATGCAAGCTGGATTCAGAAGAGGACATGGAATGAAGGATATCATTGCTGATGTCAAATGGATCTTGGTTCAAAGTAAAGAATACCAGAAAGATGTTTACTTGTGTTTTATTGACTATACAAAAGCATTTGATTGTGTGGATCATAACAAATTATAGGCAACGTTGAGAAGAATGGGAATTCCAGAACTCTTAATTGGACTCATGAGGAACCAGTGCATACACCAGGAGGCTGTCATTCGAACAGAACAAGGGAACACTGCATGGTTAAAGATCAAAAAGGGAGTGCACCAGGGTTGTATCTTTTCACTGTGCTTATTCAACTTGTATGCTGAGCAAATAATCCAAGAAGCTGGACTACATGAAGAAGAATGTGATGTCAGGATTGGAGGAAGAATCATTAACAACCTGTGATACATTGACGACACAACTTTGCTTGCTGAAAGTGAGGAATGACTTGAAGCATTTACTGATGAAGATTGAAGAACATAGTCTGGAGTATGGATCATATCTCAGTATAAAGATACTCACAATTGGACCTATAAGCATCATCATGATGAATGGAGAAAAGATTGAAGTTGTCAAAGACTTTACATTGCTTGGTTCTATAATCAACGCCAATGGAAGCAGCAGTCAGGACATCAGACCACATATAGCCCTGGGCAAATCAGCTGCAAAGGACCTCTTTCAAGTGCTGAAGAGCAAAGATGTCTCCTTGAGGACTAAAGTGCACCTGACACAAGTCATGGTATTTTCACTTGCTTCTTATGCATGTGAGAGCTGGACAGTGAATAAAGAAGAATGAAGAAAAGTTGATGCTTTTGACTTATGGGGTTGGCAAAGAATACTGAAAGTGCCATGGACTGCTAAAAGATCTATCAAATCTGTCCTTGAGGAAGTGCAGCCACAATGCTCCTTGGAGGCGAGAATGGCTAGACTTTGTCTCACCTACTTTGGTCATGTTGTCAGAAGGGACCATTCCCTGGAGAAAGATGTCATGCTTGGTAAGGTGAAGGGTTGACAAAAGAGGGGATGGCCCTCAATGAAATGGATTCACATAGTGGCTACGGCTATGGGCTCAAGTATAGCAAGGATCGTGTAGCTGGTGTGGGACTGGGCAGTGTTTCATTCTGTTGTGCATGGGGTCGCTGTGAGTTAGAGACGACTCGACGGCACCTAACAACAACAACATATATAGCTGGTTCTGTTCAAGTTAATGGGATGAAATCACTGAAATCTGTGTTACAGATGAGTTGTAACAAATGCTTGGGTGAACTAATCGCTTCTCAGTAAAGAAGTCATCACTCAAGGACTACATTATGTCAGTTTACGGAACAGTGTGAAATTCTATTATGCTGACACATGCTTGTGATTTGCAGAGCTTAATTATTGACCCTAATGTTGTTGTTGTTGTTATGTGCTGCTGAGTCAGACTCGACTCATAACGACCCTTCCTTGGGTTTCCGAGGCAGTATTACTATGGAAGTAGATTGCCCCATCTTCCTTCCGAGGAGTGGCTGGTGGGTTTGAACTGCCAGCCTTCTGGTTAGCAGTCAAGTGCAGGTGGACAAAATTCATCAACTTCTATATTCAATTCTAGGAGTGGGATTGGATTTATGGAAACAAAATTTGTGACCAGAGTTTACAGCTAAACTGTCTTGGGATTTATGTGATTGAATTTAATGAAGAGAAAATTACCCAGAAGCTCTGCTTGATAATATCTCACATATGCAATAAAATCTATTTTATAGGAAGCTTCTTGTGGTAGTTAAAGTTATGTGTCAACTTGGCTTGACCTATTTTTGACTGGCTGGGCAGCTGGGTATAGTTATTCCTCATGATGGGACTCCACGGTGGAATCTGCAGTGAGCAGCTGAGTAGCTGCTTTAGGGATGCACTTTGAAAAAGGTCTTGAGTTTTTGGCACACTTGGACCCTGCATGTAGCTAAGTCTTCATTCAGCCACCTGTCATGTTGCCTGCCAATCTTGGAACTGTTTCTTGACTTGAACTAGTAGCTTTCTGTGTTACTTAATTATCTTGGGATTGTGCCATTTTACTTGTCAGTCTTGGGTTTGTCAGCCTCAGCAGCCAGGCGCTGAGTTAAGAGAAGGCTGCAGCTCCAGTAGGCCAGGAGCATGAGGCAGGGCTGAAGCCAAGGTCGAGGGGCCTTCACCTAGTCCATAGAGCTGGCACTTTGAACTCAGACTTCTAACCTCCAAGACTGTAAGAGAATAAATCCTTGTTTGGTCAAACCATACATTTGTGTTAAGCCTGTTATAGCCGCACTAAAGAAACAAAACACCTCTCAAGGGAAATAATTCTTGCTTTTGTTTTGTATTTATACTCTATATTAGAAGTAAATATATCTAGGGATCTCTTACTATTACACATCATTAGTTTTCACTTTAATGGGATGGCTCAACTGATGAAATTACAGATTACTTTAAGATCAATTGACTTCACTGACTGTGATTCTCTGAATCAAAAATATAACAAACACAACTTTTTTTCCCGCTAAGGTTGGGCAATCCTACTTCTGTAGTGTTACTGCCTCGGAAACCCAAGGAGGGGTCTCTATGAGTCGGGGCCGACTCGACGGCAAATAACAACAACAACAACAACAACTCAATCTTAATGCTCATCCTACTTATTTTTAATTAAGTATCATATACTTTCCACTTTAATACTTCAGGTATTACAAATAAACTTAACACATAGAGTCTTTGTCACATTTTTTTTTCTTAATTACTGTCTGTCTGTGTGTGTGTGTGTCCAGTGAAGACTTCACTGACTGTACTGGTGAATACAAAGGCTGTGCTCTCCTGCCCTCCTGTCCCACTGACACCTGAGTTTATAGCAACGTGGAAAATAATCTTCAGAGACAACACTTCTTGCATCAGAGCCTACAGGAGAGATAAAAATGAGACTAAGGAAACCAACTGTACTGATGAGGCAATAACCTGGGCCTCCAGACCTGACCAGAGTCCTGCCCTTCAGATTGATCCAGTGGCCATCACTCATGATGGGTCTTACATGTGTGAAATAGTAACAGCTAATGGGAATTTCCATCATGCCTATCATGTCCAAGTGCTAGGTAAGGAACATCCTACATTGTACTATTTCAGATAACCAGGCTGAGACAAAATCAAAAACCTCTGTGAATTCCATGTTGCTTATGTTGGCACTGAAGCATTTGTTTTCCTTTATATCTTTGCAGTGTCCCCTGAGGTGACCGTGTTTCTAACTGAGAATAGAACTGTGGTGTGCAAGGCACTAGCAGGAAAGCCAGCTGCACAGATCTCTTGGACCCCAGAGGGGGACTGTGTCACTGAGCAAGAAAATCAGGGCAATGGTACAGTGTCTGTGCGGAGTACGTGCCACTTCAAGGATGGTAACATGTCTACTGTGACCTGCTCTGTCTCCCACTTGACTAGAAATGAGAGTCTGAGCATACAATTACATCCAGGTAAGTAGTTTTTCTTGTTTTGTGTTAGATCATTCCATTCTTTCAGAGGAGTTATGTTAAGAAAGGAAAAATAGTGTGCACAGAAATTTAACTACTTTTTATTCAAGGATGTTCTCAGTCCCTATTTTATCTCTTTCCCTTCCCTCAAATAAAGAGATATCTCTAGAAAGATATTACTGAACTTGTAAAAAGCAATATTTTAGAGTGCAGTTTATTCTACATTTTTAATGCTCACTTCTGTACAAGTAATAAGTTGGTTTGCTTCATGTAATTTTAAGCAAATATTTGTGACTTTAACAGAAGGATAAAGTGTATTTTGAGCAAATCCTTTTAGTTTTAATGGAAGGATGAAGTTACCCATAAATTGCCTTCACAAATTTTCAGTATGGTAGAACTTTTTTCTCCAGGTTCTTCCTGGTGGATTTTCTTAACTGTCTTATATTAAAATCTGTGATTAGTTCATCACTGTTCAGTTTCTCTAGTCTCTGCTCCCATCCTACTCCTATTTCCTATTGTTGAAAAAGTTAAATGTTGTTTTAATCAACATAGCATTAAACCAAACCAAATCTACTGCCATGGAGTCTATTCTGACTCACAACATCAGTTTAGGACAAAGGCAGAACTGCCCTGTAAGGATTCCAAAGCTGTAAACCTATATGGAAGCCGACTGCTTCATCTTTCTCCTGTGGAGTGGCTAGTATGTTCAAACTGTTGAACTTTTGGTTAGCAGCCAAATGCTTTAACTACTATACTACCAGAACTCCTTTAACATAACAGACATAGTTTAAAGTCAAATTATTCTAACAGGCTTATGATGAAAAACAGCTCTACACCTGGCTCTCCACTCTTACTTCTCCATCCTCACTCAGCACCTGAGAGGCAAATATGTTAAAAATCTCTAGGTGTTTGTACTAGTTGTTGTTGTTGTTGTTATGTGCCATCGAGTCAGACCCGACTCATAGCGACCCCTCCTTGGGTTTCTGAGGCAGTATCACTACGGAAGTAGATTGCCCAACCTTCCTTTGGAGGAGTGGCTGGTGGGTTTGAACCACCAGCCTTCTGGTTAGCAGTCAAATGCCTTAGGCATTATGCTACCAGAGTAGATGATTCCATTCTTCTCAATAATGTGCTCACACTGTTATTTCTTAATATTCCAGCTTTAGATCTTATGTACTCACTTCCTCTCATGGTAGATGAGGGTCTAGATATATTGCCTTCATTTGTCCTTCATATACAGTTATACAGAAGTTTTTATTAAAATGAAGTAGTCAATGTTTCCATTATTTTGAATATGTAAACATTGTTAAGTACTGAATCAGGTAATAAACTCTTGTTTGCTTTTTTTAAAATAACTCTTTTGCTTTTCCTGGACTTAATTATTTTGCTTTTTTGTTTTCTTAAAAATGTATGCATCTATTGTTAATTAAAGGAGCCCTGATGGTACATTTCTTAGGAGCTCAGCTGCTAACTGAGAGGTTGGTAGTTCAAACCCATCAGCTGCTCTGTGGAAGAAAATACCTAGTGAACTACTCCTGCCAAAACTTACAGCCTTGGAAACTCTATGGGGCAGTTCTGCTCTGACCTATAGAGTCTCTGTGAGTGAGAATCGACTGAGAGCACACAACATTGTTAATTATCACTAAAGTCATTGATAAAATTGGCACACCCTGCTTAATACTATTTTCCACATGGTCAAATTTCTTTGGTAATCTGGGAGTTCTATATATATATATACTTTTCTTGAAGATCTCCCTTCTTGAGTTGTCTGAAGCTCTTGTTTGAATCTGGCCTGGTTGGTCACCTGATGTGCTGTAGAACTCTTCTCCTGGGTATTTCCTTGGCCTCCACCCTCTGTTTGATCCCATGTCTATTTAATCTGAGTTCCTTTTGCCTTCCAGACATTTGTTTTCATCTCTTATTTCACATGTGAGTCTTTCTTTTACCCTTTGGTAATACTTGGTTATCCATTCACTTCAGAATGAGATGAAGGGAAACTGCTTGAACAATTTCTCTTGGAAAGATCAGCACGAGGCCAGTCCCCATGAGGCTGAGGTTAAAGATGTCCCAAATGTCCAAACTACTGTACCACTTCATCATTTCAGACATTAACTCCTCCTTCTCCTCCCAGTAAT